GACATTTGTTGGCTCGGTTTTGGTCCCTACAGGGCTGAATTTTTAGATAGATAGATAGATAGATAGATAGATAGATAGATAGATAGATAGATAGATAGATAGATAGATAGATAGATAGATAGATAGATAGATAGATAGATAGATAGATAGATAGATAGATAGATAGATAGATAGATAGATAGATAGATAGATAGATAGATAGATAGATAGATAGATAGATAGATAGATAGATAGATAGATAGATAGAATTAACACATGCTGGATATTCTATTCTTCTTTCATCCAACTTTCAGCTCTGATGTGCTGATATTTCCTTCATGTGTAAATATACATCTTAAACATTTGGGACTTCATTATGCAGCTTTACTACTCTTATGGCTCCCTAAATAAATGCTGGAAGTTATTTTTACATTTGTTGGCTCGGTTTTGGTCCATACAGGGCTGGATTTGATGGTTTCAGTTGTATATTTACACATGCTGGAGCATAATATATGGGGTGGAGTTATGTTAGGGGAAGGATTTAAAGTGTGTGTGTGTGAAGTTTGAGTGAGTGGAGTGACTGTGAGCGTGAGGGGAAGATTGTGCATTGAGTATTTAGTGGATAAGTTCATTTCAGCGTGTTTAGTGAGAGCTTTATTTGAGCATTTTTCTTCTACTTATAACACAAATACATAACAATGCTATCAAACACCAAATTCCATCTTCTAAACCAACAAAAATACACAGGTCTGGTTAGCAATAGTTATTGGTGATTCGGAAATTTACATATATACCACACAATTCTAATGCATTAACATATAAACACCCAAAATTTAATATTTACACATGTAACACCTTGGTTTTATAAACCTATGAATAAGAAGGTGTGTTTCACTTTAAGAAAATATTGATGGTGGTATTTTTGATGTAATGCTAAAGAATTGAGTGCTATGTATATAAAATATAAATGTTCAGATGTTAGATAAATACATAAGAATTTTGTGGAATGTGTAAATGCCATTTACAGCAATTGCAGGCATACCTTATTAGCTATGTTGTTAGAGAGCCAATCAAGTCCTTCATACAGCCATTCTCCAGAAGTGGCACATGTGCTCTGGATATACCTGCAGACAATGAGAAGAGGGAAGACATTGTAATGGCCATATGTTGGTATTTTGATAGCATTGTAATGGCCATTGTAATGGCCATATGTTGGTGATGTTGTGGAATTTGGTGTTTGATAGCATTGTTGGTATTTTGTTTACCACATTGGGGCTTTAGTCCTTGGCTGATGTGTTCAAAAGAAGTTGATATTCGTCCCTACAGGACAGTGAAGGCTTAGGTACTTTGATATCAACATCGCTTCCAGATTATCTCTTGAAAGTTGGAACTTCACCTTGGATTTGGCTATAGTTCAATGTTATAGTTGTACTTGTATTTGCTATAGTTCATTGTTATAGTTGTACTTGTTTTTCAATTTTGTTAATAAAATATACGTGGGTTGCCTTTTGTGGACGTAGGTCTCCGACCGAACCACATTAAAATCTCTCGTGTTCATGTCTTTTTTCTTTATTTATACATTGGATATTATGTTGGTTCTGGTTTTTTATTTCTCGACTAGTTGTTGTTTAAAAGTTGGTTGCTTTCAATAGTGCTTATTTTAAATTTGTTCCCAATAGTACCAAAACGTCTAAGGCAACTGAAGGTAGTACGTCTGCAATGTGGGATAAAGAAGTTACAAATATTTTTTGTGACCTATGCATTAAAGAAACTGAACTGGGGAATAGGCCAACAACGTATTTTAATAAAGAAGGCTGGAGTAATATAGCTGGGAGATTTAAAGAATTAACTGGTAGGGATTACGACAAGCTAAAATTCAAAAACAAATGGGACCAATTGAAAAAAGAATGGAAATTATGGAAAGAGTTGAAACGTGGTGCTACCGGGTTGGGATGGGATCCAATTAAAAGGACGATCGATGCTCCAGCTGAATGGTGGACTGAGAAAATTCAGGTAATATTATACATTTATTTTTTCAATAACATTACTTCTCAAATTATTTTCAAACTGATCCCCTTAAATAAGCTTGTTACAGGCATTACCAGCAGCGAAAAAGTATAGGCAGTGTGGAATTGAGCCAGACTTCGAGACAAAACTTGACATCATGTTTAAGGGGGTTGTCGCGACTGGAAAGCACGCAGCAAACCCAAGCGAGATGGGATTTACAGGAATGTCAAATGACTTGCCACCTGAACAGGTTATAGCTGATGAAGAAATTCCTAGCATTAACCAAAAAGAGATGGAGGAGTCCAATTCCATGTCCAAAAGGCCCAGACTTGCGAGGAAGAAGAAAGAGAGTGACAGTTTTGTAAAAGGTTCATTTGCTGAATTAATTGCAGCTTTCACAGCTCCAACTCCTCCTGACAGCACCATTTGGGACTGCCTGGCCATCTTAGATACTATTCCAGAAGTAGCATCCGATATGCGCTTTCAGGCAAAATGTCTTCAAAAGCTCGAGGACCCTACTCGTAGGGAAATGTTCATTGCACTACGACCCGAGATGCGCATTGAGTATTTACGTGTTATAGTACTAATCTTTCATTAGACTTATCAAATATGTATTGTTATTACAGCAGCTACTCTTATTTTATGATGCTATGTATTATCTGATTTTTTTCCCTATCTTCAGAAAATGTTGTCTCACTTATTTTTCGATGCTAAGTAAGAATTGATGTTGTCACAATTCAACTTTTTTTACGCTACCTCTACATATTTTCTTTCATCCTAATTTATTTATCATCTCAGGATGCACCCACTGCAAGACCGTCGTAAAAGAATGGCATGGGCTGCTGCTATAGCGATATTATTGCTGGAGTACTATCGCTCCAGTTATAGACGGATACCACGCATGACGTCCTCTTTTATTGGGTACAAATGGGTGGATGAGATGCTTGCTGGACATCCGATAAGGTTCAGTAATATTTTCAGAATGACTGCGCCTATTTTTATCGATCTGCTACACGAGTTAAGTCGGAACCACCATCTACAAGGTTCTTCTAGAACAACAACGAGAGAGGTGTTGGCAATAACATTATATATGCTCTCACAGAATGAATCAGTTAGAGGAGCTATGGAGCGATTTCAACATTCATCAGAAACCATTAGTCGATACTTTTCCAAAGGTTTACAAGCACTGGTGAGCTTAGCAACACAGATCATCAAGCCAACGGATACATCGTTCGCAAATATTCCTGAACAAATTGCAAATGATTCTCGTTACATGCCGTATTTCAAAGTAAGTATTATTACCTTGTTACTTTAGTTCATTGACCTCTTCAGTTGCTAACTATGATGAACAGAATTGTATTGGAGCAATTGATGGCACTCATGTAGATGCCAGACTACCAAGTCACGAGAAGATCGCGTATATTGGTCGGAGTGGTACAACCACACAAAATGTTATGGCAGTGTGTGATTTCAACATGTGCTTCACATTTGTAATGGCGGGGTGGGAAGGAAGTGCGCATGATAGTCGCCTTTTCTCCTACGCCACTAGGAATAGAACACAGTGTTTCCCTCACCCACCTTCAGGTTTGTTCATTTTACTTAAAACCTCGCGAAAATTACATTAATTATTTTTAATTGGTACTGTCTTTAATAACAGGAAAGTATTATTTGGTAGACGCTGGATATCCGATGTTAAGAGGCTACCTAAAGCCATATCCAGACACAAGATACCATATTCCTGATTTCGAGCGAGCAAGTGGCAATATTCGTGGCAAAAAAGAAATGTTTAACAAGCGACACTCCGCTTTACGGGGGGTTATTGAAAAAACTTTCGGTGTGTGGAAGAAGAAATGAGTATTTCTACGTGATATGCCATCCTATTCATTTCCTAAACAAGTGTATATTGTGTGGGCCACCATGGCACTTCACACCTTCATCCGACGTCACCCCTCTCATTCAGATACGGACTTCAATATCAGTGATGATGATGAAATTATTGATACTCTAGAACCTTCAGGATCTCTAGCTGATAATGAGATGGACTCGATTGAATATGAAACTCAGGATGGTGAGGGTGCAGTTGAGATGGCTGCTCTGAGGGAGTCTATAGCAGATGCTATATATGATAGCTAATCCAGCAAGTCTTTTCTCTGTTCCTACATTAATGTCAAATTTACTTTTATTTGGATAAGTACTAATAATATTTTTTTTTTCACAGTTATAGAAACATGACTTCTACGATATCAGGTACAGACAGAGGTATTTTGTGTTATTGTGGTCTACCAGCTCCGTTGCTCACATCGCGTCAGTCTCATAGCTTTGGGAGGCAGTTCTACGGTTGTGCCAAGGGTGTTTCAGCTCGTTGTGGGTTCTTCCGGTGGGCTGACAGTCCCTCATATGACACGGCCAGCAGTCATGGGAATCCGGTGTTTTCTGACTTTGACAGAGCAGATGAGGACAGACGTAGCCAGAGTCTGAAATTAAACATTTTAATATTTCTGATTGTACTTGTACTCGTATTTGTACTTTTTTAGTTATCTTGGTACTCATGAGGGTGTGAGTAATGTATGACATCTTCTATTTATGATCTGTGATGATTTCATGTTTCTGCATATGATCCAGTACTATCAGTAAGCTATTCTGAATAAGCTGCCTCAAACAGTTCTATTACAAAGGGGCATGAATGTCATTTAATCACAAATAAGCTATCTTGAATAAGCTGCCCCAAACAGCAAGACAGATTATTCTGATAATCTGCAGATTATCAGATTATCAGAATAATCTGCTTATCAGCAGATTATTAATAATCAACAGCTGCACCAAACAGACCCTTAATCTACCTAAAACAATATGTAGTTGTTTTAAAAATGTGTAAATACATTGCATTTTAGAAAATCAATATTTTTAAAAAATCAGATCTTAAACATTAAATTTCACACTCTCTCAAGAGGGCCGACTTGCATATAGAGTAGGGTCATAAGTCTCATCTTAACAATTTGATCCTCCTCTTTATTAGTACTAAGTTTGATCCTCCTCAGAATGCTGGAATTGATAGAACTGTTGATTTAGATAATATTCAAGATGCAAACTCAAATTAAATATCAAATATAAGTATTTCAAGTATTTCAAATATTTCTCCGATGATGGTTGTATATTATGAATCTTAATCGGAGATGTCTATTCTAAAATAAGAAAATTTAAATTTTAAAAAATCATAAAAATTTTAAAAAAAGTTAAACGATAATTCTATCACTAAAAAGCTAAGAGTGAAATCACATATGTCCTCTACAATCGTTTATCGAATCTTGCAAATCTAATGTTGGGTCAAGCTCGCAAAGGGCTAATATTATATAAAGTATATTATTAAATTCATATTCAAAATATTTTGTAGCAGTAAGGATGTGGCATGAGTTTTCTATTTGTGCGGCTTGGCCAGTATGCTTTACAAAAGAAGCAATTACAACTAGAACCTTCTTATCGAGTGACAATTATATTACGGTCAGGATTATAACTAGTATGCTCTTTAATAATTTTTTTTCCTTCTAGTTGAGAATCATAGGATAATTTGATAGGCCACAAAGCCTTATGTATGCTAAAATCAACTAAGACTAGTCCCCTTAAACAAAAATCCACCCTAGGACTTAAATGTTTCTTTGGACAAAGCAACTCATGGATGCTGACAAAGTTCCTTCAATCAGTTTGGGTCGCCCACCTCCTCTGACCAAATAAATCAGGGTCTATGACAACTCGAGATGACAAAACCATGAGATTTTGATTGGATTTATCATCATTTCCCCATCATCCGCTCTAAGCTCACAGCGATAATTTTATGATTTCATAACTTAAATATGTTACTAATATATAAAAAATTTGAATATTTAGTACCCAATGAATAGTCTTAATCATAGTGCTTTATTGTCATCGAGATGAATAATTAATCATAGAGGTTTGAGCATATGAGAAACCTCATACCCGATATCTTGAAGTTCTTACAAAATGAGGGCGGATATTTGCATAGTATCTTGTCTATTGTTTCATCTGCCTTCTGAAAATTTGAACAGTAACCTCACGGTAAACTATCTCACTCATTCTTTATTCTTTTCGAGGGAACTCAGGGCAGCAAATTTTCAGAGCTCTCAAACGTATGGTAATAGTACTACAACAGACCACATCATACATGAGAAAATTACTATAAAATTCATGGTAAGTCTACTAAATGGATGAGTATAGCGAGTGATGTAATAGGCAAAATCATGTATCGTATTAAGCAAATGACAAAATTGCAAATCTGTTTTAGTAACTCAGGTGTATGGTGATAGTACTACAATAGACAACACCATACATGAGAAAATTACTACAAAATTCATGGTAAGTCTACTAAATGAATGAGTATAGCAAGTGATGTGATAGGCCAACTCATGTATCGTATTACGAAAAATGACAAAATTGCAAATCCATTTAAGTAGTAACTTAGGTTTCGTTTGAGATCACATAACCGTTGAAAAACGTTCTGTTATACATAACTTTATAATAAAAATTGATATAAATGAGTTTTTTTCAGAGCAAAGCATCGTTTGACTAAAATAATTTTTTTGGCAACTTCTTTCAGATAGAAGACAAAAATATCATGTACCCGGTCGACGTTGTTATCAAACCGATCACTGTCGCAGGCTCATGTCTCATTCGCCAAGGTGCAGCGCTTCCATCAAAGTTCTCCTCATCCAAATGCAAAAACTTCCAAAATATGTGCATCTTCTCCATTCTATCATTTATTTCTCTTCCATCGATCCTCGATTCTCTTATAGTTCATTTATGTGTGCTTGATCCTCATCGATCTAACTTTTTCCTACTAGATTGGGCTGGATTGAAGCTTAGTTTGGACATTTTGATTCTCATCGATTCTCTTATAGTTCGAACTCTACGTAAAGCTATAGGCAAAAGAGACAGGCATTCGAAGGTTAGTTTGGACATTTTAATTGTGAAACATGGAACGGAGGGCCAAAGCTATGAATGTTCTGCGATCTGAAACGGCGAAGGAAAAACGGAGCGTTCACGAACTTCTGGCAATTGTTTTTTACCAAACTAATGTTATTCGTTTAATCAACGTTTCATGGATCAATTCTCAAACAAGCCTTAACCATCTCCTAAAACTACTAAAAGCCAATTTCAAACCAAATACTCCTAGTTGGTACCCCTACAGAGTCATGTCATAATTTTAATACTTTATCTTATAATCAAAACTCCCTACTTAGTGTAGTAAAGACTTGTTGTTGTTGTTATACATAACTTTATAATAAAAATTGATATAAATGAGCTTTTTTCCAGAGCAAAGCATCGTTTGACTATAATAAATTTTTTGGTAGCTTCTTTCAGATAGAAGACAAAAATATCATGTGCCTGGTCGACGTTGTTATCAAACCGGTCACTCTCGCAGGCTCACGTCTCCTTCGCCAAGGTGTAGCGCTTCCATCAAAGTTTTCTTCATCCAATTGCAAAAACTTCCAAAAAGTGTGCATCTTTTCCATTCTATCATTTATTTCTCTTCCATCGATCCTCGTTTCTCTTATAGTTCATTTCTACGTATCGATCTAATTTTGTACTACTAGATTGGGCTGGATTGAAGCTTTTCGAACTCCACGTAAAGCTATAGGCGAAAGGGACAGGCATTCGAAGGTTAGTTTCGACATTTTGATTGTGAAACGTGGAACGGAGGGCCAAAGCTGTGAATGTTCTGCGATCCGAAACGGTGAAGAAAAAACGGAGCGTTCACAAACTTCTGACAATTGTTTTGTACCAAACTAATGTTATTCGTTTAATCAACGTTTTATGGATCAAAATGATATTGAACCTGGTTCTCAAACAAGCCTTAACCATCTCCTAAAACTACTAAAAGCCAATTTCAAACAAAATAATCTTAGTTGGTACCCTTGCAGAGTCATGTAATAATTTTAATATTTTATCTTATAATCAAAACTCCCTACTTAGTGGGGTAAAGGCTTGTTGTTGTTGTTATACATAACTTTATAATAAAAATTGATATAAATGAGCCTTTTTATAGAGCAAAGCAACGTTTGACTATAATACTTTTTTTGGCAGCTTCTTTCAGATAAAAGACAAAAATATCATGTGCCCGGTCGACGTTGTTATCAAACTGGTCACTGTCGCAGGCTCGTGTCTCCTTCGCCAAGGTGTAGCTCTTCCATAAAAGTTCTCCTCATCCAATTGCAAAAACTTCCAAAAAGTGTGCATCTTTTCCATTCTATCATTTATTTCTCTTCCATCGATCCCCGATTCTCTTACAGTTCATTTCTGAATACTTGATCCTCATCGATCTAATTTTTCCTACTAGATTGGGCTGGATTGAAGATTTTCGAACTCCACGTAAAGCTATAGGTGAAAGGGACAGACATTCGAAGGTTAGTTTGGACATTTTTATTGTGAAACGTGGAACAGAGAGCCAAAACTGTGAATGTCCCGCGATCCGAAACAGCGAGAAAAAATGGGGCGTTCACGAACTTCTGGCAATTGTTTTGTACCAAACTAATGTTATTTGTTTAATCAACGTTTTATGGATCAAAATGAAATTGAATCGGGTTCTCAAATAAGCCTTAACGATCTCCTAAAACTACTAAAAGCCAATTTCAAACCAAATAATCCTAGTTGGTACCCTTGCAGAGTCATGTAATAATTTTAATACTTAATCTTATAATCAAAACTCCCTACTTAGTGGGGTAAAGGCTTGTTATTGTTGTTATATCTTATACTCAACTTCTTCTAGATCATTTAATTTAGAAGTATATGATCCCGCCTTCAACTGTTTAATATGTGCATACCTAGTTTTGAAACTCAAAGGATTAGGGTTGATGATGACATTTCTCAGCCATTACATGACAAAATATGAAAAAAAAATAGAAATATGCCCTTCATCCTATCCTCAATCCCAAATTTGCCTAAAATTTATTACATGTAAGCAAACTATCTAAAGACTTTAATTATGATGTCATATTCTTTGAATCTCATTATGAATTTCAAGACAACGGCTCAGGAGAATGATTAGCAGTGCTAGAATGATCAATTATCTTAACAAATATGAAAAATTCTCCAACAATAAAATAGTTGATGGTTAAGTGCCATGATATTAGCTCAATATCTGCACATGAACAAGTACTGATATGGCATCTTAGACTAGGACATCAAGTTTTCAGTACCAAAAACATATTTTTTATAACTTAGTTAAAAAGTTTAAAAAGTGGTCCGTTATTCTTTCGAATATAAAAATTGTTATTTATCCAAAAGCTAACAAGCCACTTATTCTACAAAAATCTTTCATGCCCCCAAACCATTCTACTTAAAACATAGTGATTGATGTGGCATGTCAAAAGATCACCACCATAACTAAAAAAAAGATGGCTTGAGATCATTATCAACACAATCAACATTGTTAGGTTTATTTTATGAAAGACAAGTCCAGGATTTAAAGATTTCTTCAACATAATTGAAATCAATTATGCCAAAAGATTAGTATTTTTAGATTAATAAATATCTATAACATTTTTGAAAGAAAAATGAATGTCACATCAATCCATTTATCACAGAAGTCCCAACAAAAAAATAAGCAATCACTAAAGTTAGCTGAGCCATAATATTCTCTATGCATGTTCTCAAAAATGAATACGAAGATATAATCCTAAAGACATCATATTTAATCAATAGCTAATGCTTACACAAGTGTTGTACCATATTACACGCCTAGACTTCAAAAATATATATTTCCCGAATGTATTAATCCACATTTACCTATAAAGGTTTTTGGTATACCATTTTTGTTCGCATACCCAACAAATTTTGATCCAAACTTGATCCTAGAGTCAAAAAGTGTGCTCCCACAGGAAAGCACCCAAAGATTAAAGGGCTACTAGTTTATGATTCTAAAAAAATTAAATTACCACGGATGTCTGCTTTCTTGAAGATCAAATGTTTTTTACCACAAATTCCTTCCAAAAAGTTAGAAAGAAGGGAATCTTTTGAAAAAAAAAAGAAATCAATCCCTTGACCAATCTTGTTCTACCATAGACAAAGTCAAAATGTCCCATGTACATAAAATAAAGGAAATCCTAATCCAATTTCCCTAAACATATAAGAATCAAAGGCGAGGAGAGAACTATTACAAGTACAACAATGTGTTCCTAAACGTGGCTCTTGATTTATATATATCCAAAAAAAAAGAACCCAAAAAAAAGACCAGAAAAACCTTTTGCCAATAATTTAGTCAAAATGCATATCCCTTGGTAGAGTTGACTTATATAGTTCAGATTGCCATCTTCACATGGCCATTAGAAAAGAAATCTGAACATGTACCCAACAAACCATTACAAAATATTTATCATACGATAATCTCAATTAATCATGGAATAATCATGGAGCATTTACCTCAAAAATATCTAATCTGTCTATGTCTAGCCCTATTAATGAAGCCTTTGGATGATCTGAATTGCAAATTAGACATAATAGAAGAAATAAATGGTTTTGAAAAGAAAGATGGTACTTAGGAGTTTGTGAACGGTGAACTGAATAAAGTCAAGAAGTTCATAAGGTGTAATGAATATTGAAAATTTAAGTGCAAAGTTGATGGCAACATGGAGATGTACAAGATGAGTCCTAACATAATGGTGTCAAGAACGTTGCTATAGTTTCCAAAATAAACCCTATTCAAATTCTACATTTCTTGGCTGTTGATTACAGCTGGCCCTTGCATTAATTAAAATTTAAAAAATTTATTCTAAATAGAGATCTAAAAGAAGTCTATACTAGCCTAAAGCATGACCACGAAGCCTTCAGCCACATCATCATTTTACCCCTCATTCTTTTACATGATAAACCAAACATACTTAAAAATATCACATACAGTGATCAATTCGCCTCATAATAATAATGATGATATTTGTTAATATTAGACCCGCTAAAGCTACATATCGTATATTGTCTTTGTGTTCAAATCATAAGTCATTCAGCTCTAGTTTTAAGCCATTCCACTTCTACGTTTTTCTTTATTTTTGGCATAATTCTAAATTTCCAAATATATCAACAACCATATCACAAGTAGGTTTAAAAGGAAAAAGAAAAAAATCTAAAGAGTTAAGAACCAAGTTTGCTAGTGAAGCCAAAAACAGATTATTTATTTAGTTCACTGTTCTAAGAGCCTAACAGAGGTTTTATTGTCGTCTATCTATAAAAACATCATTGTATGGTTCTACTCAAAGAAGAGTGAAATAACAAAATTTAAACACCATGATATGTGCATATACTGTAAATGCTTATACCTCCATTATCCCAGATAAGCAGTAAAGCCATATGCCAAAATAATCAAATATATAGACAGGTATCCCAAAAAAGAAGTGCACAAACAGAATTGCAAAAAAATAAGGTATTAAAATAACCGCTTGACAGGCTATGATTCCTTGAATACATCAATACTCATTCAGGTGAGGGTAAAGAAAATTAAAACAAGGGATAGCAATTTTCAGGTCCACAAAAATGAGCAAGCTAATGTGCAAAAAATCTAGCATACTTGGTAATCGAAAGAAAAAAACCAGAATGTAAAAACTAATCCTTACAGCAATTAGATCGCCAAATTGTCCTGTAAACTTAGTGCCGATGCAGCTTTTAACAAGGCTTAACATTGCAGCACCTGAAAAAAAGATTATGAAAAGTATAACATCCAATTTCATATGGCAAAATTACGAAGAAAATTTTTTAGGGAGAAAGAATTTCACTGAAAATAACAATCATTAAGAGATTAAGAGAAGGCATTATGAGGCGGACCAATTAAAAGTAGGGCTGCGAATTTGGATACAAGATTAAAGATTACTCAAAGATTGAATCTACTTTTGGCTCAAATCAAGCTGGTATCAAGGTCACTGAGTTACAAGTAACAAGCGTAGCATGTTTCGAATAAAATTTAAATTGATCCAAGCTAAGATTGTGATGCAGCCTCGTATTTGTTTTTAGTCTTCTTTTATGTTTTTATGTTTTTATGTTTTTATGTTTTCTTTTCTTTTAAAAGGGCATAGATGCCTTTTTCGACTATTCAAATGTATTTCCTGTCTCCCAATATAAGGCATGTTTATTTAATGAAAAAGGAATTTTGGGTGTTCATTTTATCTTTTCCTTTGTGCCGAGAGTGGGTGTTCCTTAGAAAATCAAGCTGATTGGACTGTAACCAGGGTTCGGCCCTCCCGGGGTGTTTGTGGTTGTTCCTTTCCTGCTGCTAATTGTGGCAATTTTTGGTTCCAGGTGGAAGACAACTAAGTGATCAGTTGTTTTCCTTGATGTGTCGCTATCATCTTAGTATCATAGCAAGTATTTCTTTCCTGGGTTGTTCCTTTCCTGCTGCTAATTATCGCAATTTTTGGTTCCAGGTGGAAGACAACTGAATGATCAGTTGTTTTCCTTGATGTGTCGCTATCATCGTAGTATCATAGCAAGTATTTCTTTCCTGGGTTGTTTGGCTAGAGAAGGAATTCTTCCTAGAACATTGAAGCCTAGTTCTTAGAAGAGTTCCCGGGCCCTTTCTACCATGGCAAGAAGTTGCCACCGCAGTCCTCCCTACTTTCCTCTGTTCTAGTTCCAAATAGGCACTACCGTAGCCGGATTCTCTGATGTGTTGAATTCTCCTCAGTCCAATCACAGATAAGTGACGTTGTTGTCCAGCCGGAGATGACTGTTGTTCCACCCACTGTTGTGATGATTTCAGGTTCTAGAAATGCCACATCGCCTAAATTTTGCAACCCAATAAAGAAATTATGGTAAAAGAACTGAAATAAAAAATATGTTGTTTGCAAGAAAGGCTTGTTGTTATTGAACAACAAAAATTCTGGAAATTAGAGACAAGAAAATGGAGGCGGTTGAAGGAAAACAAAGAAAATCCTTTCTTCTGAGAGGTATCCACCGAGGGAGATAGGCCAATCCGCACCTATAGGAGAAAACAACCATGCCAAAATTCGGATTTTGAAATTAATGTTGACATTCCTGATTTCGATGAAAGATTTGATCCGGAAGAATTCAGCAATTGGCTGCACACGGTGAAGTGACTTCTTTATTACAAAGAAGTGTCACATGAGGTCAAGTTGGTGGCAGTTATACTCAAAAAGAATGCATCAATTTAGTGGGAGAACTTGAAGAAAATAAGGAAAAGAGAGGTGCAATCAAAGATTACATGGGAAAAAATGAAAAAAAAATTACAAAAAAATTTTGTCAGAGCATTTAACGACAAGATGTTTTCTTAAAATTACATAATCTCCAACAACAAGAATTGATGATGGAGGATTATGCAGCAGAATTTGAACACCTTTGGCTAAATTGCAACCCAACCGAACCTGAAGAGCATTCCATTGCTTGGTTCTTGAGTGGGCTAAGGCCAACCATAGGCTACGTTGTAAAACTACAGCCTTTTTGGGTCCTCCAAAACATCATTAACCTTGTTTTCAAGGTTGAACGGCAGCAGAAATATAGTAAAATTGCATACTTACACCACCCCCTGGGAGAGAAATCGGTTCAGTCTAGAACTGGACAGAATTGGGACAAAGCAAGTGGGAGCACGGGAGAATAAAGCAGCACAAAAGTTGTCTTCCAGCTCCAGGGAATAGGTAAAAATTGGTACAAACCCGTCTTCAAGGAGGTGCTTTAAGTGTCATGAGTTTGGACATAAAATCCAATTGTCCTAACCGCCGGGTCATGTCATTGGTAGAAGAAAACAATTCAGAAGAGAAGAAAATTCAGAGAGAATAAAACAACAAACATATGGAAGAGCAAGTGTTTCATGCCAATGCAAGTGAACTGTTGGTCCTTTGTATACTCTCGAATGTCGAAACCCTTCCCAACCAAGAATGGCTTCTTCATAATATTTATGGGATAAAATGGACAGGGCAGGACAAAGTGTGCAACCTCATTATGGTGGAAATTTTGAAACATTGTTTCCACTACAATGGTAGAAAATCTCGGACTGATCACACAACCACATCCACATCCTTATCGGTTTGCATGTCTTAAAAAGGGAAATGAGCTCCAGGTTACTAGACAATGTCTGGCACAATTTCTACAGGGCAAAAGTTCTAAGAAGAGGTCCAATGTGATGTCATTCCCATAGATGCTAGGCATTTGTTGCTTGGAAGGCCATGGCAATATGATCGAAAATTACCCATTGTGGATTCAGCAATATGCCTTAAAAAAAAATGGTAACATTGTTGTGTTGGTTTCCATGAAGGAGGACACACCATCAAAGGCTAAACCGTACCTATTCAACGTCACACAGCCCTCTTCATGAAAGAATTAAAATAGGCAGCCTTCGGTTTAGCACTTCTCAACACTATCATTCAACATAAGCCACCACCACACTATCGAAGTTGAAAAACTGCTGTAGTAGTTCAGAACAGTCTTTCCCAACGAGATTCCAGCCCGTCATGGACTTTATTTGGGCTCTGTTATTTCTAATTGTTCTGCATACCGAATTTCTCCTATGGAATATGAGAAACTACAGCAATAAGTAAAAATGTTGATTCAAAATGGTCTTGTTCGACCTAGTTATAGCCCTTGTGCAGCTCCCGCTTTGTTGGCATCTAAGAAGGATAGATTGTGACGCATGTGTATCGATAATCGGGTGTTGAAAAAGATAACTATTAAATATCTCTTTCCAATACCCCGTCTAGATGACCTTTTTTTCTCAGCTAAAAGGGGTCTAGAATGTTTTCCAAGGTGGACTTGAGAAGACGATACAGCCAAATATGAATGAGGCTCGGTGATGAATGGAAAATAGTGTTTAAGACGTGTGATGGGATATATGAATGAAATGTTATGCCATTTGGAATTTTAAATGCCCCGCTGTCGGCCGTTTTTATGTTCAACTTGACTTTCG